ACAAAAAATCAAAATAAATGTAGATAATAAAATTAATTAATTAATTAATAAAAATAATAAATTATTATTTTCAATCGTTTCTCCAAATTGCGTCAAACAAAAGCCCACTCCGTCATAAAATTGTATCTGGGGAGGGGCGTTCGGGTTCACTCGGGTTTACTCGAGTGTCTACAAACATATAGGCTGCAGTAAAAATTAAAATAATTTTTTTTATAAAATTATTTTTTTATAAAATAAATTTTTTTATAAAATTATTTTTTTTATAAAATTATTTTTTTTTATAAAATAATTTTTTTTATAAAATTATTTTTTTATAAAATTATTTTTTTTATAAAATTATTTTTTTATAAAAATATTTTTTTTATAAAATAATTTTTTTTATAAAATTATTTTTTTTATAAAATTATTTTTTTTTATAAAATTATTTCTTTATAAAATAATTTTTTTTATAAAATTATTTCTTTATAAAATAATTTTTTTATAAAATTATTTTTTATAAAATAATTTTCTGCAAATCAAAAATAATAATAATTTTATAAAGCATATAATTAATTATTTATAAAACAAAATAATTTTATATAGCACTTTTAATTTTGACACAAACGGCGCCTGATAGTATCAGCTCTAAAAGTAATTTTTTTACTTTTTTCAAATATTTTTTAAAATATTAAGAGAACCTTAAATTTTAAAGGAGAAGTTGTAGAAAATTCTCTACAAAAAAGTCCTTATTGCTAAAGTGCACAGTTTACAAGATATGAGCAGTTTTATATTTAAAAATTTGAAAATTTTTTATTTTCTTAAGATTAATTTGTCTTAAATTAGATTCCATGACTGTTAAATATCTTGTAAATTGTGCACTGTGCGATATAAAAATAGGAACTTTTTTGTAGAGAATTAAATTTTCTACAACTTTTTTTTTTAATTTGGAAAGCCATTCTTATTAGACCATGGTCTAATGCTGCAGCAACAAAAGTATTATTAATAAAGACAATTCGAGTAATTTACTTAAATAAAGAGAAAAATACTAAAAATAAATGTATAAAATTACAATTTTTGCAATTAAATGTATTTATTTTAAGAAATGTTTTTTTGCAATAAATTCATATTATTATTACTATTACTTAAAGATGTGCCATGAAGAAGTTACTTGAAATTACACAACAGTAAGATTTGTTAACATTTATAAAGAGAGATGTATTAACCACATAAATTTTCCAATTTTTTACAATTTACAATTTTTTAATGTGTCAAAGAAACAGTATTTTGGACTTTTGGCGATTAAATAAACCATACATAATTCTTATCGTTTTTCTTTCATGGAAAAATGTGCTTATTTTGTTTAAATAATTTGCTCTCAATACGATATATTGGTATTTATTGGGTAGTTGTTTTTTGTAATTTAATATGACTAAACAAAATGTTTTAAAATACATCACGTTTTATTTAGAACACATATATAAAGTGGATATGGAAACACAATATTTATTGGATTACAAAACAAAAAAAGACTTAAAAGCGTAATTTAATATTTTATTTGAAATTTGAAAAAAGCGTTTTGAAAATTTAAAATAAATAAAAATTACTTTAAATAAAGATATTTTTTTAAATTTAATAATAATAATAATAATAATAACTTTATCGACGGTATTAAACCACTTACAAAAAAATACATTTAAATGTCTTCAATTAGGATTGATAACAATTAATTTTATAATTACATTGTTTTTTGAATACTTCCAATGAGCAATTAAAAAGTCCAAATCAAGGTTGTTTGCATCAAAGCATATTCTGCTTATAGACATGAATTTAGCATATTCTGTTCTGTACTTTTTATGTGAAATAATAATGTGTTACGCGTTCGTCTTATCGGGGTATTAAAATTAATTTGCGCTAACAAGTCGGGGCAGTTTATAAAGTTATTAAGCAATTTAAATAGAAAAACAACAACTTAGTAAATTCAGTTGAATTGCATTTCTTACTAATTCTAAAAAAAAATTGAGCAAGATACAGAGACTGGCATGTCTCGGTATCACAGGCGCAATGAGGACTACTCCAACGACGGCATTAGAGGCCTTGCTGAGCTTGCCTAATCTTTCCCTCTGGATAAAGAGAGAAGCAATGGCGAGCCATTTAAGGATGAGGGATGCCAACAATTGGTTAGGAAAAGGAATAACTTATGGTCATGAGGGCATCGCGGATATGGCTGAGAGGGAGGTCCCAATTAGCAGTATTAGAACGATGCCAGCAAAAGACCGCCTAAGTTTAAAAAAGAAGTTTTCCCTCACGATACCAACAAGAGAGCAGTGGGAGAAAAAGGATGTACACTTTGCACAAAATGCACTAGTGTGCTACACTGATGGCTCTCGTATGGCGAGTACACTGTCTTCAGGGGCAGGTTTCTGCGTGGAGGACAGGGATATCCAAAGGAGCTACCCGCTCGGAGGATATACCACTGTCTTTCAAGCGGAAGTGTTTGCCATACTTGAGGTTGCAAACTGTGAGGATATAAGAACAGGGAGTGAGACAGATATATACATCTGCTCAGATAGCCAAGCAGCTCTGAAAGCGCTTTGGGCAGCGAGAACCACATCGAAGTTGGTTCAAGAGTGTGAGGAAGCGCTGGAAAAGCTAGCAAGTACAAAAAGAGTGCATCTCGTATGGGTACCAGGTCATAGTGGGGTTGAGGGTAACGAACGGGCTGATGAGTTGGCCAGATTGGGATCTGAAACCCCCTGTGTAGGACCCGAACCAATTTTTGGAATCACGAGAAAGCAGGTCAAATCAGCCCTAAATAATTGGGCTGATAAAAGAGCGAATGAAAGCTGGAGAAGAAGCGGTGGCTGTAGGCAGACCAGGGATTTTCTGGTCACCCTAAGCAAACCCAAATCCATCTGGCTTCTAGGTAGAAGCCGAACCTCCTTGGGCCCACTTGTGAATATACTCACAGGTCATGGCCTAAGGAAACACCTCACAAGAATAGGGGCTGAAACCAGCCCCTCCTGTACCCAGTGCGGAAGGGAGGATGAAACCTCCTTTCACTTCCTGGGACAATGTGAGGCCCTCGGCAGACTAAGGTATAAAATCTTTGGAGTGATGACACTCCAAAGGGAAGAGTTGGCCTCTCTTGCCTGGCAGGATATCCTGACCTTTATAAGAAGGTCTGGAAGATTCGAAAGGGCTGGTATGGGCGAAGAGGAAAATGAGGAGTAGTCTGGTTGGTTTAGGAGGGGCAGATAAAAAGGACCATGGAGTCTAATTGTCAGGCTTCGAGCCTACCCAACCGTACTACTACTACTACTACTAATTCTAAACTATATTTACACTCAATACTTAATTTAAATCCACAAAATCGCAAACATTTGTTTTGGACTTTTTCAATTTTTATGGAAGAATTAACATAGAATTCCTTTAAAGGAGACCAAATTACACAACAATATTCTAAAATGCTACGTACGTAGGACATATAAACAGTTTTAACACATTGAACATTAAAATCTTTCATGCTTCTTTTAACAAATCCTAGCATTTTAAAAGCCTTATTCACAATAAAATCAACATGGTAGCCAAATGTCACTTTTTTATCAAAGTAAACACCAAATCTTTTATGACATGAACGTTTTGTAAAATTATATATATAGTACGGATATATCACAGGATTCATGTTTCTATAAAAACTAATATATTTACATTTATGTACATTTAATTTCATTTCATTTGTATCACACCACAGTTGAATTTGATTTAAATCTGATTGAATATCCAACTTGGAGAGACTGCTTGGATAATCCAAGCAGTCTCTTAAGGAATTTACTTCGTTGTATAAATTAAGATCGGCGGCAAATAAAAGATATTTACAAAATTTAACACCATTGCCTATATCATTTATAAACAAGTTAAATAAAATATATATTATTAATTTTAACACTATGAATATTTTTTTTAATTTAGAAGTTAAGTTTAAATAGGTACTTAGGTTATTATTATTATACACAAAAATTAGATAATTTTATCACTTGTTTATGTAAAACTTTGGGTTAAACAAATTAGAAAATTTTAACCACAAAATATATGTATGATAAAGTATATTTTAATGTTAAATTAAATACCTATAGGTATATACAATAGTGTATGTTTTTTTTTAACCCCTATTAATCAAAGGCAACATTTTTAAATAAATCATAAAATGCATTAATTAAAATATAGCATGACTATAATAACAATCTTCATATTATAGTATATTATGTATCAAGTTTGATAAACGCCATTTTATACACCAATTTAATTTAGGCACGAGCGAGCTTGCGAGCGAGTGCTTAAGTTAATGAGTGTATGGAAAAGTTTATAAACGAGGTGCATACTATACTTTTTCTACGACAAATACTTATTATTATCTTAAAATGATTTAAATCAAAAATTTGTATAGATCGCCATCTATGAAACAACAGGGGAAACTGTCAAATGTCACATTTTTACATTTTATAAACACAATTATAAAGGTTATAAATCGAAATGTATCTTGAAAATTCACAGTTTTTCACAGTGAAAGTAAAGGAAATGTTTTATGAGGACTTTACATTATACTCTATAGAGTCCGTGCCCGAATTTAAGTTATAGTTTACTGCCGGCGAAATTAAAAGGTCAGTACAATGTTCATATAAACTAATATTTTTGTATTTTGCATTGAGATAATAAAATAATTTTCACATTTAGTATTATTTTACAAGAAAGGCACTTTATTTTAACGATTGTATGACCTTTGACAACTGTCAACTAACTTAAAACCTAAAATCCTGTTGCTAACTTCAGCCCGTGACTAAAGCGCCGTAAAGGGCGTTTTAAAGGTGGGAGTAGAAAAAATAATTTTTGAAAACGCTTCGTTTCTTGGATACAGTATTGCAAATATTTTTTTATAAAACAATATATTTTAAACAAATATCTGACTTTTTTATATGAAAAACAATAAAAATATAAATAAAAATAACGAGTACCTACTAACTTCGTTACAAAATTTAAAATATAACTTTGGGTATTTGTTTAGAAAATAACTATTTCTATATACTTTTATCATTGACTTCTTCACTCAACGCTTTTATTATAATATACTATTTTTATTTTGCAGTTATTAACAGCAGATACACAAGAAGCAGGGGCCCGACGAAAAATGACATTACCCGAAGAACACTACAATGCAACAAATTTTCTTACTCTGTGGGATTTTGAGGGGGTCTTTAAGTATTCTCCACTATTTTACGGATGGTATACTAATAGTGACTCAAAACAACGAGGATATAGACTGCCATTTGCATATTTTGTCACTGGATTGGTTGTGTATGCCTACAGCTTCTTTGCAACCTTAAGAAAGTTTGTATATTATAAGTATTTTATAAATGTATACCAATCGTGCATGTAAATTATAAACTTATGAATGATTCTAAGTTAAGGACTCTACAGGGGGTCTTCTTCTAGTGTACATTGAGTATACTTATATGCGTTTTTATTTTATTTAAAGAGCTACAAGTGGGTTAAATTATAGAAAAGTGTCGTAAATCCAAGCCCAATAAAATGAAGGTTATAAACTGTAAAACTCAATTTTTTTTAAAACTACTAACCTTTAAAAACCAAAAATCATAATAACTTCGTTATTCCTTGGAATTTAAAAAAAACGTAAGTTTTAAACATACACATTAATCTTAGAATATATTTTCATCCAATTTTTTATCCACTATATTTTGAGTTACGATCACCATATTTTGCTATTATATTGGTCGACATAACTTATGTGGTTATGGTGGAGGTAACCTAAAATCTAGAAGGCAAAAAAAAATCACAACTTGGATGAAAATGTTAATAAATGTTTATGTTTACATGTGAAACTAAGTTTTTCAAAAATTTCCAAGAATAACGAATTTATTATGATTTTTGATTTTTAAAGGCTTTTAGTTTTTTTTTCAAATGAGAACCGCTGATTTTTTTCCAACTTATAAATGCCATTTTAATAGACTTGTAATTACGCAAATTTTCTTTCATTTGTTGTTTTTTAAATAAAAAAGATACCCCTACATAGAAGGATTCTTGGTGCACCCTGCATAGACGACCTTTAAATTGAAAATAATTAATAATTATTAATTAATTAATTAATAAGGTGTGTTTTAGTTTTTTTATTACTTATATTACTATTAATAATTATAATTATTAATAGTAATAAAAGTAATAAAAAAACATAAAGATACCTTATTAGTTACTAAATTAAAACTACTAAAACATGACTTTCGTGTAATAAATCACGATTATAAAAAACAGTGTGTTCGTTATAAGCGATCACAAGTATTGAATTTAATGTATTTTTTTAAATTTGTAAATGATATTTATACCAAAAACAAAATATTTTTTCCATTTGCATCAAATTTAAAGCTAACAAAAATAACAAGGCAGTGAGAATAAATTAAAAATTATTTTGACGGATATTTCAAAAACGGTTTGACTGGCAATAACAACGAGAGGACTTAAAGCTTGACCCATATAACAAAATAAGTTTTAAAAATGTTGTATGGCCGTTTGAAAAACAATATTTATAAATGAAAGGTTGATGAAATGTTATACGAAAATATTTTTATAACCTGAGAATTATAGTGTTCTATCTGCATTTTTTTTTAAATTGAGGTTAGTCTTGTTTTAAGTCTTAAAGATGCATATTATTCTATCTATATATAATTAAGGTAGAAATTGTAAAGTTTAAGGCTTAAACTGTACAATTTATACCCCAATTATATATAGATAATACAATATGCATCTTAAAACAAGACTAACCTCAATTTAAAAAAAAATGCAGATAGAACACTATAATTCTCAGGTGACGAACTGTTACGCATAAATATTTCTACATTTATAAATGTTTATAAATAAATAAATATTATATAAATATTAAATATAAATATATAAAAAATTTTAACATTTATTTCGCAATTTTATGTAAATAATATTTCCTAAATATTGTTAAGTTATTTAACAATATTTATAAACTTATTTAAAAGTTCATTAAAAGTTTTCTAATGTAAGCGGCCTCTCAATAAAAAGGTCTGAGGCTGAGGTCTGACGCTAAAGTCATCAATTTTTAATTAGATGAATGTATTTTAAGTGCGGCGCAGTTAGAGGTATGTATTATATTTATTTTTATTGTTTAGATTATTATTGCTATTTATGAATGGCAGTGTACTGAACCGCGGCGATACCTTAAAATTTTATTGCCATCATAATAAAGACGATTATTCTATCGGTAAATTTCTTATTAATTAAAAACAAATATAAACCCTATAAAATCGCTTAGAAAGCCAAAAATATTATTATTTTTTATTTTTTAAAAACAAAAAAAGTAAATTCCCCGAGCGGAATTGAACAGAAGACTTTAATTTAAATTTATTTATTTTTAGCCTCCATCCGGAAAAATCCGAAAACCGAAACTTCGAGAGAAAATGACATTTTACCGACAATGACGACAATCGCTGGCTCAAGCTAAATTTAGAAAAAGAAAATAAAAAAAAACAAAAAAAAAGACTGTAGAAAGAAAAATATTCTTTTATTTCTGTGATTTTTCAAAAGAATTTTTGTTTTACATAATATACTTATAAGTATAAGAAGATGTGGTATGGTATTCTCATATCATATATATATGATATACTATATGATATGAGAATACCATACCACATCTTCTTTTTGCACTCCAAAACAAAAAAATTCAGTATACAAAAAGATACGGATGTCACACGGCCTTTATAAAATAAAAAAATAAATCTGCAATAAACTGTAAATATTTTTAAAATATTTCCAAATATGTTTGTGATGTTGAGGAAACATTAATAAAATATAAGATGATGTATCTAAAATATTTACAAAATTGTTTTAAAAATGTTGTGAAAAAATATTTATAAATATAAAAAGTGGGACATCTAAATGTTGTTAAAACATTTTAGAGACATTTAAAAGATAATGACTAATCTTTTTAAAATATTTAGTTCATTTAGCAAAAATATTCATTCAATATTTTAAATATATTTTTGTGTGGTGTTGGGAGTGATTATTTAAGTGACAAGTTTAAGAAATATTTCGAATATTTTGATGTGTGATATATTAAATATTGTTTGTGCTTGCTTGCTTTACTATTCGCAACCAGAAACAATATTTGCTTCTATAGCGAATAAAAAAGGATGTTCAATGCGTGAAAAAAGTTTTCTATTTGTGGAAATTTGATTTACTCGCTATTAGGGTTTTAATAAAGTGTCAAAAAAACGAAAAAATTTGGAAAAATCCGTTTTGTTATATGTATAAAATAATAAAGTTTTTATAAAAATTACTTATTAAGGTTGATAAATAAATAACAGTAGACCGTGCCAATGTAGTAAAACGTAAACAGGCCATCTTCATTGATGAAAAACAAATAAAATGTTGCTAAAACCAATGAGAAGACGCTGATAATCTTCTTCTGGTGGAAATTTTTTACCTCAAGGGAATTCTAAATTAAACAAAAGGATCTTGTTATTACCGACCAACAAACAACAATTAACTCGCTGCAGGAGCAATTTTATTGTTAAATATAATAAATAAAACTAATAAAAACAATATTATGCAACCAATTGCAAATAAAAAATACAATCCACATCTATGATGCGTTATGCTTCGTTTTATTTATAAAAACAATTTTATAGCGATCGGGTATTATCGTTACGAATGGTGGGACTTTGTTTGGGTTAGAATTTTACCACATTTATAATTGTTTGTCTATGTTTGGAGATTTATTTTGTGCACTAAAAAGTGATAATAACAAAAATGAGCCGAAAATATTTGAATGACGCCGAATTAGAAAGACTTTTGTATGAAAGTACGAGCCAAACGAACGCCGGACTGAAAAAACTCGACAAACTGCTTATTAAAGGTTGTACCAAAAAAATCGTTTATTTATACTTCTAGACTTGATCCCAAAGCACAGTCTAGTGACTTAACTGAATATTTAAAAGAAAAATTTCCCGAAATAAAGTGCGAGAATGTCCCGTCAAAATATCCAGATCATTATTAACTGTAGATTTATGTAGGTTTGAGGAGGTGATTAATCCAGGGTTGTGGCCACAGGGAACGTATCTATCTAGGTTTTTTCACCCAAAACCCAAGGACACGCCCAAAACTTAAAAAGTAAAAATAGAATAGAAGCCACCAAATTTTTAAGTTCAAATTCAAATATTGATTCTTTAAATATTATGCATCAAAATGTGAGGTCCATACGTCAAAAATTAAACCACCTGGAAGACTTTACTATGGACAAAAGCATAAATGTACTTTGTCTGACAGAACATTGGCTACACAGTTTCAAACTACAAGGTTTAGATTTAAAAAGTTACTACTGCCGAGCATATTTTTCAGGAGGTTGAAGTTCTATTAATTGTAACACAAATCTTCTAGCAAAAAATGTACGCAAACTTAATGATATTAGTGTAGTTAGCTCAGTGCATCTGCAAAATCATGACATATATTGAAATTCCATATACCATATATATAAATTCCATAGACCTCCAGCAGGAGATTTTGATCATTTCTTGGAAGTTTTAGATGAGCTTATTTCCAGAACAGATTTTAACAAAAAAAAATATTCTTGTTGGATAGCTATGGTTTTAAATAATTAATATTTCAATATACTGATTTCTTGCCTTGATAATGCTTTTTTAAATTTGTTAGTTCTATTTCTATATCATATATATATATATATCATTGTTGCCAAATAATAAACTTAAAAATTAATTAACATAGGTACAACACAATCAAAAAAATAAATTAAAATTTGCAGACCAATAACACAAGGTGGTTTATTTAAATTTTACAACTTCATTGAGCAAAGCTCATGGCAGTTTATAAACGATATAATATATATATAATAGGGAAAATACCGAATCTAAATTTAATACCTTTCTTACTATTTTAAAAAATGGATATTTGGAAGCATTTCTTGAGAAAATACTATGGTCAAAGTGTTCAGGAAGGTTTAATGAGACTCTTAAAAAGATAAGAGAAACTTTTTGGTTACTACACAACAACCATAAAAAGTCAAACACCACAAATAGCAAAAAAATACTAAATGAATTCAAAGCAAAGTATCAAAATTAATCAAAATTAAACAAGCAAAAATAAAATATAATGATTTCAAAATTAAAAACTCCGTTAAATCCACGTGGCAAGTAATAAACGAAAAAAGAATCATAACCAAAAAGGAAAAAAATCTGATATCTAGCCTAATATATTTAATAAGTACTTTTCAGAAATAGCCCATAATATAACACAACAAATTGATTCAAATGTAAACTCAGTAGATTTTAGTTGCC